TCAACCACGAGAAAGGGAGGGGAGCAAGGCAAACAGCAGATGTGATGACACCACGGTAAATTCGCCAAAAGGGCACATTTCTTGTGGAATATAAACATGTCAGTTGTAACAGGACCATGGCGAGACTAGAGGGTAGGAAATTAATAGAGGGATCAGGACAAAACGAGGAGTGATAGCATAACAGTTTTGACAGAAAGTTGGTCAAGGGAATGGTTTTACATCTTTGAAGAGTTATAGATTGGTTACTGAGAATGGCAAGACTCACTGATGATGCCGGTGAGACGTCTGGGAATGTAACAAGTCCACGGTCCGATTCTGGAAATGATCATGGATACTACGGACTCCGGATAAGATGCGTTCCTCTAGGTCTTCCTTATATTATGACCAAGTTGCGAAACCAAGGTCTAACAACTCATATACTGTTACGACTATATGTTGAGGCCTTATGTATATCATAACATTTCTTCCTTAGATTGTCTTGAAATATTAATAGTGATAATGTCAGATTTACTGGTAATGTACTTCGCTTAAGAGCTCTACCAGAAAATTTTGAATATTGGCCACTAGCAGCATTAGTATTAAGGTGACGAAGGGAAAATGAATAATTTTATTACAACGATACGAGTAGGCCTAACGATTATAGTGAATTTAAGTAGCTGTTATACCTGATCACATTATTATTACAATGTAATATAGTGACCTAAGCTGTAATTCAAGATCTGCTAATAGTATAGAGAAAATAACTCATAAATATAAAAAATAAAAGACTAAGAATCCACTAACCTCTTGTGTTAAAACACCGAAGGAATGCAGCCAGTAGTCAAGTCGAGCAGGAGCACTTGGTTGTGGTGGATTCAGTCGCCATATAAATCTAAGGCTCGGTTTAATGCCTGCCATGCCAATCGGACTGACGAGCCCGCCAAAAACGCCAAAGCCGATGTCATCTGATTCTGCACCATCGGAGTTAGAGCCAGATTTGTGCGCCGATGAAGGCGAGTTATGCGATTTCCGTTGAGCCGCAGGCAAAGTGGGAGCAACTAAGCCTTCAACCCAGAGAGGAGCACCTGATCTCGTGGGCCCATGTTGAACCGAACTTACTCCTGGAGGATCATTGAGGCCTAGAGAACCAAGTGGCCGATGATTTCCACCGGTTCTGCTTGCCACAAGATAACGCGTACTTTCAGAATGAGCAGACCCTAATCGACCCCCTGTTGAGTCGGGCATTTCAGAAAAAGTAGAAGAAGCGGATTCATCTGAAGGCACTTTGCCACCAAGGGGACATCCAATACGGACCGCAGAGATGCCTACAACGTTGATGGTACATATGGTCTAGGAAAAAGAATAATGAGAAAGTAAATAGTGACATTATTTCGAGAGCTACTGATTTACAGGTTAGGAACTCTCAGTTAGTAGAATCTTCATTTAATAATTAGTAGATTGATAGCAATTAATACTAAGAAACAAAATGCCAAAAAATAAATAGCAATTCGACAAGACCAGCGGCATCAACAATGCTTATCTCAACAAGTCTTGAATCAGAAAATTTGCCTATCACTGAATTAGAAATTACTAGGCAAAATAATGAGATCAAACCTCCGAGACAGCAGGGCCAGTTTCATAAATTGGGAGACCAGCTGAAGCATTCCCTTTGAACGGCGCCGCTACTACCGGAAGTGCAATGGCCACGGCTTTCACTCGGGCCACTCCTGACGCCCCAAGACCAACCGCGGCTCGTATAAGTACACTAGCACTGCTTGAACCGGCCAAAGTGGTTGTCACTAACTTGTTAGATGAGGTGTTATCCAAATCCAACGCAAATGCATTCTTTGAATCGATGGAGTCTTTATCTAGGCGATTGCGGCCAGAGGTGAAAAATTGGAGTAGCGGTGGATTCGATTGACCAGGTGTTGAAACATTAATTGACTTCAAAGAAACACCTGACTCGTCAACCAAAATAAAAGTGAGTCGGGCAGGCTGGGGTCCACCAAGGGTATGCAACTGTAGCTCAGCTCCACGAAGAAGATTTAGGCCACAAGGAAAAAGGCGTAAAGGGGGAAACACCTGGGCGAGTAATAAGGGAAGAAGATGGCTCGAATGTTTAGAGAGCTCTAATTCATTAAAGTGCTTGTAATAGAACCGAATAAAATCCTAAAATTGACGGAAAAATTTGAATCATGACCTGAATAAATAAGGCATAATAATGCAATATAGTGGCTATAGTGAATCACCTTAGGTCTTTAGGATAGAGAAATGCAGATTTAATATTTAAATTTCCCACTTCGAAATGAGTAAAAGCCATAAGTTGCCGATTACTTTCGGTTGGCTTTATCTCTGAAAAAGCTTTTCAATCCTGTCTGGGGAAGTAAATAAAATATAGAGCGGGAACTTTATAAGCCTAAGAACAACTACAGGTGCCTGTAGATGAG